TCGAATTAGTTATGGGCAACCTGATCTTTTAATTTGTAAACGTGGGTGTTTTCTTTTTTATTAATTTCAATAATACTTAATTCTTGGAATGAGATATAATCGATACAAAGTATTATTACCTACTTCAATAAAGTTGCTTTATGGTTTGATAAGTTAACTGTAGCGGCATTGGATGAGTCTGGTGGTTTATGGCGATATCCGTTGCACGCTACGGTCGTTAAAGTAACAGAGTTAAAAGCACTAAAGTGATCTGTCGGGTGACATGTCAACATTTTTAGACCATTAGTCATATGTTTATGTGTGACGTGTACTAAAACGACCGTGGCTGCCATATTAATTGATAGGAGATATGAGTTATGTGTGAGTTAATTTTAATACAAGGAAAATATGAGAGCAGAGTAATGGTAAGTGGATGCTGTAATCCATAATCATATACATATATTATATTGTTGTGTTTTTTCTGTAACCACCATCGACGTTATATACCTGCCCTAAGGTGCATTGACAGAGGATGCTAGCACTGGGTGGCAAACGAGCACTCAGTCCACCTGATGCTAAGTCGATACTGTGGCCCATAGACATTTATTCGCAATAATTAACAACTCAACTGTAAATGAGTTGTCACCTCTGAGGACTATGATGGAATGCCTGGATTCCAGTAAAACGGGTCTCCGGTTTTTTATACTCACCATACGAAACACGGCAGCAGTACGCTGCTATTTTACGCTTCTATTCTGTGCGACCGTGGTTCCGCCCCGGTCTAGCCGACCCATTCCTGCTACAGCTATAATATAGCTGCAGCGTGGCTCTACCATGTAAATATACCATACACATCATTACAGTCCTCATCTAAGGAATGCCACACCGCACGGTCCCGAGTCACGTGCATTGATTAACTTCCTGCCTGTCCTACCAGGTCATAACTCTAGTAGTGGAGTACGCCTTACACTACGTCTACACTTCATGTAATTACATTGCGTAAGGTTCAACAAAGAATAAATAAATCTATCATCATCTAAGAATCAAACGCGTCACACGTGGCAGCTATGATATAATGTCTTGTTACTAGCGAAAAGTGTCTTCGGTTCACGGACGAAATTAAACACTAGCTCAGTAGCATTATGTTTACGTGATAACGCTGCAGCTATATTGTTGTAGAACGTTGTAGAACGAATTGGTCGACTCCATCGAGGTAGGGACATAAAAAGTTAACGTTACAGCCTATATACGTACCATAGCTGGGCAGAGGCCTCCCCTCATTTCTGAAGGAATTAAGGAAGTGTCCGCCGCACTGCCCCAATGCTCGTTGGCGATTTTCACATGTCTTTGGAATATTTTTTATTTCTCAGACATGCAGGTTTCGTCACGATGTTTTCCTTCACCGCCGAGCACGTCTTAAATCAGCACTTAAAATTGCAATTAACAATTTTATAGTTGGCGGCGGGGATCGAACCCGGGTTGCTCGCGTACTAGGTAGGTACGCTAGCAATCCGGGTTCGTACAGAATACCAGCCTAAAATAGCATCTTAGTGCTGCCGTGTTTTGTATGGTAAGCGTAGAGAACCAGACAGCCTTTTTACTGTAAACGAGGAATTCAATCTTTATCTATAGGGGCGATAACTTATCTATATTTTGATTTTTAATAGAGGATAGATGTGCTCATTAGTCTTATTCTGTAAATAAAAAAAATCATTTATCTCCATCAGATCGTAACAGAGGTGGACAGATTGTCGTTCCTGGTTTGATCCTGTTCCCGGAATATACGAGATTAATAGAGCCATCTATCGGAGCCCACAAGAGTTTCCCGGCGTTTACCCCTATGTCCATGTATAACAATGACCCGTAATTTGATTATTTTAAAAATTACTAGCGTTCTACTCAGACTTTGCACGGTTGATTTCTGGATCTAACGTATCGGATCCAATTCTTAATCTAAACCATCACCGAATCAACTTCAACACACAAAAATTTCATCAATATCGGTCCAGTTGTTTAAGAGGAGTTCGGTCACACACGGACAAAATAATTATTTATATAAAGATAAAGATGTTGAGGTAATATATAAATTCGTCGCCTTATTAATATTTAAATATTGTCCTTTATTTACTTAAGTAATTGTGTGCACAGTGAGACGTTACCTTTAAAAGTTCAGCTTATTCGTCTACATAGATTATCATCGTCGTAAAGTCAATAAAGTATAGGAACATAGCGTGGAGTAAGTTAGCTAGTTCAATATACACTAGTTTGTTACACATAACCATTAGACTAATTTACGAAGTCGACTTAATATGTGACTCCGGCAGAATATCAGCGCTGCGGTGACTCTGTTACTAACGCATTATCCTGCGTATGTAGTTTTGTGCTGAGTAGGTTTTTTTGCTCTTGAAATCCTCTTTTTTATTTTTAATATTAGATAAGTATCTCCTTTGTTTTGTTTTCGTTTGTAATATTGATTTCCTGCAAGTCGCAGCAATGAATATATATGTTCCTTATTCTTTCTTTACATATTTTTTGTTAATCACGAATCCCTATTTCTTAAAACTATCCCCCTCTAAGCCTATCAGCAGTCCATTACCCCCAAGTTAAAGCTCCACATGTCGCGTATCGATCGCTTCGTATCACGTCATTGTGCGGATCCAAGAATCTAACAGGATCGTCCCCTCCGTGTTTCCGCGCGAGCTGTCGCCAGATCTACCGCTCGCTAGTCTGATATATAGCCGGTTTTTGTATACGTTTGGAGATAAAAGTTAAACGCCTTTAGTTGGCCAGTATTGGTGAGGAAATAAAAAATTGCGCGTTATTGGTTTTTTGTAACCGAACAAAGTTATAGACTTGGGTGTAACAAGATGTTGTGTATAGCAAGGCCGCAGTTCAAAATCCGCACGGAACAAGTATTTGTATGACCTACAAATAATTGTTAAGAGCCTGGATGTTTGTACCTACTTGTAAAATTTATATATGTGTTTTACCTCCACGTTATAGGAGTAAAGTTACAAGTTTTTAAAAGAAAAAAATATGTAGTATTGTAAACACAGAACACCTACTATATTAGGTGTGTTCTGTGACTGTAAGCCTTGATCTAATGAATAAAAAGTATAATTTTTAACCTTTTGGAAGATCTCAGGAATGTCACAAGTTCAAGTAAATACGAGTATTAGAATATCATCTTAAGAGAAGCTTAAGATTTCCATTCAAATTTTCATCACCAATTTTCTCCATCCTAAGCGATGCAACTAAATGAAGGATAAGTGATTTGATGAACAGAAATATGGAGTAGTAATTTTAAAATATATAAATGTATAAAAAAAGTAAAACATACACGTCTCACTCGCATTACTGTCAGGGTATTATTGTAAGGAGGTGTCCATCGCGCTGCAATAATGCGTTTTAGCGAATTTCACATCTCTTAGAAATATTTTTTTATGTCTGACGTGCAGGTTTCCTCGCGATGTTTTCCCACATTACCGAGTAGTAAATCAGCATTTTAAATGGTAATTAATAATTTTATTGGTGCCGGTGAAGATCGAACCCGGGTTGCTTCCGTACCTAGGTACTGTGAAATTTACTGTGAGAGTACGCGTAAATAAAAGAAATCATTATATTTAAGCGAACACTACACACTGGGGTGTGATGATGCTATTGTAAATTCTAAGTCATAGTCACGAAATTATTTTACTACCCCACATAGAATACTATAATAAATAGTTTGCCACCACGAGTCACATAAAAATATTTTCAAATTTTTATTTAAAAATATATTATTCATTTATCTCCCACAAAATATTTATACAAAGGTAGACTTCATGCCTGAGACATTATCTACCTGTCTGGTTAAGAGTGGTGCTGAGATAAAAATGGAAATTGTGGGATGTTATGGGATACCTGTTACCAACATTAAATAAAGGTTACAGATGCATTATCAACTATTCGGTTGCTATCGCGATGACTAACTAAATTAAGACATTCCATTTTGTCCACAGTCTGTAGTTATGACACTGACTTTCTTATCCTTCATACTGGAACATACTACAAATATATTGAGAAATATATAAAAACCCTATACAAAAAGATAGTCAACGATGAACATATGCGAGTCCCACAGAGTAGGAAGGATCCGTCGTACTGTTCCAGTGCAAATTGGTAAATATCATAATTGTAGTCATAAAGTTATTTATTTTATCCTACTTGGTGGTTTTTCCTTTAGTGTCAAGTACCTAAATGGTAAATCAATACTAGAATTCTCTTAACACAATATTAGTTGTGCTGTCGGAGATCGAATTCAAGTTGCTTGTATATTATGATATTTATCGCAAGCATGTGGCATTTGCTCTACCACAGCTCTACTAATAAGAAGGATTTTTTCATTGCAACCGTGTTTTTATGTATATAAATATTTTACTTATATAAACGATTGTTTTGTAAATACAATACAGAAAATTTCCCTCCATTTAAAACATCCAAAATTTCGTACAAGTAGATAAACGCTTAGGGTCCCATGTCTTATAAGTCGTAGCGATGCAGTGCACGCCTCGGCGTCTCCCGAATCGCGTCGGGTTCCAAAAGTGACTTGATCCCGGCCACGGCCAGTCTCTAGTCTCTACTTTACAGTGCAGTCAGTGGCGTGCCGCCTGCCGAACTAGTAGGGTGTCTTTACGCTCTTCGCGCGCGAACACAACGTACTCAAATACGATAAGTCAAAAATACAGTCCATATTTTAAACATCAACGAAATTCAACTATTTTTCACATACAGTTTTTTTATTATTTAGCGCAGTTTTTACGTCCGCGTGTGTTTAATCCGTGTTTAGTTAAATTATTCTAGATTTAATTTCCTTTGAAAGCAGGTTATAGCGTGAAAAGCTTACGCCGGACGTGGCTTTTGTAATGACAATGACGTTCATTCAAAAGTTCCTGAATTACCATTGACCATGGGAACGTTTGCCATGTTTCCGCTAACGTACCGTTATAATATTTTAATCTCGTGAGAAAAAATAAACGAAAATGATTCTGAAAATGGGAGGAAAGTTGCCTCCGGGAGCGAAGACTTCCGAAAAGGAGAAAAAAGTGGAGAGGAAGGATGGGAAGAAGAAATGGGAGAAATGCGATGACCGATGCCCGGGTGACCCGTGGGCTTACTGTGCGGTGTTGTGGTGTGCGTGTGCCATGAGCCTTATCTCGAGCGGGTATAGTTTATATAAGCAGCAGGGCCTTCAAGATAGGCTCTCGCTGTTGGAAGAGCAGCATTTAGCGTTGAGGAGTGCAGTATTGGAGCCGCAGCAACCGCTGGTGGAGAGACTTCGCAGGGAGGTGCTGTCTAGGCCGCCTGGCTACTGGCGATCGAGACGGAGCATCAGAGATTATGGGGACTGCGTCTGCCCACCAGGTTAGTTCAAGAGGAATATATGAAATACATAAGATATAATTATGTACAATATTTAAAACATCCTGTTTAAAAGTCTAAATTCAAATTCAAAATATTTATCGTAAGTTAAGTGTTAATAGTTACGTACCTATATATAATGATTTCTTAAATTTACGCGAACACTACACAATGAATAAAACTAAATTTACGGATTCTATCGCGTTTATTTAAATCAGTTTATTCAACGTACCTATACATTTGGTGTTAATTTAAATTATGATATGACTTACGACTCAACCACCTTTTTCGGGTTTTACAATATTTGTTTATATTTAATAGGTTTGTGCTTAACATAAGTTACATACTAAATGAAGTTGTTAGTTAATAGAATTAAACAATTAATCATTATTATAAGAAAATATTTTTTTAATTACGTAGAAATCAAATAAAGAACACAAATAAATAATACTTAAGATTTACTGTAGAGTATTTTAATTTTGTAGATATTCTTTCAAATTATATTTATTCACGGTTCGTGTATTAATTTATACTATGTTCAAAAAGTAGAAATGTTATTTATATGTCATATCCATATTGTTCTAGCACTATTTTATAACATTTTTTTACAATGTAAAAACCTGTAAATGGCAGTTTTGCAGACAATAAAAAAACAATTGTAATATACAATACAATACCATACTTTTTATTGTACACCACTGAAAGATAAAAATAACAAAAAATAAACAAATATTGAGGGGAAAACAAAAGGCGGTCTCATTGCTACACAGCAATCTCTTCGAGGCAACCCAGAAAAATAATGACATAAAAATAAGAGAAAGATTAACGAGTGGGGAGCACTAAAATAAGAAAGGATACCAATTTATGCACTGAAAAGACAACATACTTTAGTTAGATCAATTGGAGAGACAAATAGTGTTCCTTAACTTGCATTCAACGTGTAATGAATATTTTACTAAGGAGGTATTCATTGTAATTCATGTTTATAGAGCGAGTTACTGGCTGTGAGGCATTCCATCTCAGTCTTCAGCGGTGACAACGCATCTGTAGCCTTCTTTGCTTGAAGTTGGTAGCACAGGCTTCAGTAGCCACTTACCATCAGGTGGACTGTTAGTTCACTTGTTTTGTTAAAACCCATCATCATCATCATCATTACAGCCCTTCACAAGTCCACTGCTGAACATAGGCCTCCCCCAAGTAATGCCACAAAGCACGGTCCTGAGCCACCTGCATCTATCGACTTCCTGCTCCATGACTCCATCTAGTGGGGGCGACCTACACTACGCCTACCGGTACGAGGCTGCAACTCAAGAACCTCAAAAACTTACTGAATGCTAAATACACTAATACACATGATAAGATCATGAATTATGATCATGTACCTACTAGAGAAATAAGATTATTTTATTACATATTTTAGCTACACATTCTTTAGCTGTGTAAATAAACCTTTTTCTTTTTTTACAATTTTAGCTTTATGTACAAAAATAAAATCAAATTTATATCTAGCCGTAAATGAAATTTATGTAACTATATAATATAATTCTCTATTCATATTTTTTATTTTAATTCCGTTACTAATTCAAAAGAACGATATCCGTTTCGAGTGGACTTCAAGAAGGTATCCACTTTTTGTCGTTTTCGCTAAGCGGTAATTTAACCATAATACATTCGTTTTAGTTTTAAGCGAGAGATAATATCAATATTTGTGCATGGAGTGTGTAAATATTTTCAGTTGAAACCCTTATATATGACTTATGTGTGAGCTGTCGTTTATAATTAGTTCATTTTTCCCAAACACTAAAGTAATTTATAAATTTCGAAACTAAACATCCATATAACGTTATCACTTTAAAATTCATCGTTATTTCCGTGATGAGACAGAAAAAGTGGTATAATTTAAGTAATAACTACTGGTGAAGGTGGAATGAACTCTCTAACACAGGACAAACATAAAAGAACTTCCAGCTGATGTGAATAACCGTCCGAGGTGTCTGTAGTATAAAAACATGCTCAGGGTAGTCCCCGCCATTACATCAGAATCGATAAACCACAAATCCTCGCAAAGAACACCGATTCTTTATACAGGATAATTGGCATAGCTAGTGAAATTAAAAACATCCTAATTTCAATTGAAAAATTTACTGGATGCTAACATTTGCATGAAATTAAATCCAAACCCAAGCGTACCACTGCAGAACTTCAAGACACCGTAAGCTCATTCTGGGCGAATCAAACCAAAAGCAAATAAACATAAAACATAATACATAAACACTCACACCTGTCACCCAAAGGAGCAGGCAGAAACTATAGACTTCCATTTGGCACGATCCTGGCATACCTCTCTCGTCGCCTCCACATTCATATACCTACGCATACATGCTCGTCGTTAAGGGTACTCCTAATTTGGCCCATTTTCAATATATCGCCAATTTGGTCGATAAACTTTCGCCTAGGACGTCCCTTTAAGACTTTTCCATTTATAAAATTATCAAAAGTAAATAATGCTGAAGATAGCCCGGATTGACTGCAAAATCAGGACTTCAGACCTCAAAACTAAGAGAAGGACTACACTCTCTCAGATTACCACAGTAAATTAGCAGCAGCTGTTGTGTTTCGTATGGTGAGTATACAAAAATGGAGAACCTTTCTTCTGGAAGCGAAGCATTCTACCTAAGTTCTCATTAGTTACAAAGTATCTGTTAGTTTAAAGCTTAATCGAGGATAGTTTTATATGTCTATGGACCACAGAACCCACTTACCATCAGGTAGACTCTGCACTCATTTGTCACCCCAAATCTATAAAAAGAGTTATAAATTTTGATTGTGATCATGCTATCAACTTTATTGATTAAGATAAACGTATCATGATCATCACAATAGCCTTTCACAAGTCCACTGCTGAACATAGGACTCCCCAAGGACAGTCACAAAGCAAGGTTCTGCTGCACCCACTTCCGTCACTCCATCTAGTGGATGGCTGTTCTACAACTCGTTAAGTTACGCATCTGCCACTCGAAAACCTCTAAACCTAACGGCTTAATTTATATTATTGTATTTAATTATATTTTTAATGATTAATTTTATTTTTAAAACATTGTATTGTAAACTTCCGTAACCTAAATAGCCATTCTTGCAATTCTATTTCCACATTGTCTATTCACGGCGTCCACAGCACACACACGAAAACTGCCACACCACATTAATCGGACAACGCTCCCGTCGCATTGCTACGTATTGTGCTTTGTTTTACCCGACTGCGCGACGCGAAGGGAGTAATGTGTTCATCAGTCGATATACTTATAATCAGCCGATATATAACAATGTGTATGTTTGTTCCTTTGTGGCGCTCTAGAGACCAAACGCGTCGGTCGATTTTGATGACTCTTGCGTCAATCGATTTGTCTTAATCTTTTAAGTGTCACTAAAGGCATGCCAGTAATCAAAATTCAATATTGTGACAATTACGAATTACGTACTTGACGTAATCTGTCAACTTTCGTATTGTTACGAAACGTCGTACGGGTATTGTTGAATAGGTTTTTGAAAAGCATCTTTTAATTTCTCTAATTATTTTCATTTTGTATGACCATTTAGGATCTATAACGCTTTAAAACTGATTAACAACCATTCTCATTTAGCATATGAAAGGTGTTAGATTCGTCCAAGGCTAAGGGTATACAATTTTCCTTTTATCAGTATACTTTTTACACATTATTTATAAAATAATTGTGACAAACGAACATATAGTCCATCTGATGGTAAGTGGATGCTGTGCACATATACATCTTTATTTATCCTCCATTAAGCTCGAATACCTCATTTCCAGTAAAAAGTGTTCCCGATTCTCTACACCCACATGTTTGAAAGACAGCAGCATTGATCTGCAATTTTATGCTGGTATTTCGTGCCACAATCACAATGAAGCTGCAGCGTGGCTCTACTACGTATAAATTTTTAATCAATGTTTTAATTATTGGACTTGTTATGCTTACTTCGCGTACATTTGAACACCGACGCGTAACGTATGATGGTATAATTGTCATCGTAGCATTATTAATGACGGGATGAAATTGCCATGAGCCAATCTAAAATAACGTGGCTATAAATTATTCTATTCAAACTGCAACGACACGCGGACACTCGATCCCGTACGAATTCATTGTTTAAATTTATACGCTCGTAAAGTTTGGATTTCACCTAAATCATTGCTGCGAAATATTCATCGCGGTCGTCCGCTTCGTATCCGTGAAATATAGCTGATATCTGTCGCAGGCGCTTATTATGTCTTCCAATATAAATATATATATATATATATATATTAGATTTTGGGAAAATTCTTCGAGGAAAGAAAGAGAGGATTACTTCTCTGTGGAATGGTTTACCACCGGCGATTTTTCCGCAGCGATATGACTTAGAGACCTTCGAGAAACGAGCTTACTCCTTTTTAAAAGACCGACAGCGCAAAACTGCAATTGCCCTGATGTTGCAATTGGTCATGAACGATGGTCGACATTTAACATTAATTGTAAAAAGAATAAGAAACGTTAGACATAATAGGTTTCATTTTTCGTCGTTCCACCAAGTAGGTATAATAAACGTTTTCGTGTTTTGGTAAATGTGAGAAACAAACGTGCAATTAAGAAATGTAGGTCTGTCTATATCACTTGTTATAAGCGCCACTGCTGATCATGTGATCTCAGGTATGGATCCCGGGTCGCGGTAAAATCAGTTATTTGGTTTTTCTGTCAAGACATTTTTAGGAGAAGCCCGGAAATAGGAAGTTTGCGAAGTTGCATACCCATGCATCTCTGTCCGATCTCTCTCCAACTATGTCGGATTACCGTCGCATACTCGTAGAACTATGCGAGTGCACCGGTGCTTGCACACACGCTCGTGTAGTATAACCTTGTCCTGCGAAGATAGCTGATCTCCGTAGAGACCGCTGAATGGGGTCGCCTGTGTTCAGCAGTGGTTTAAAATAATAGTAAATTTATTTTAACTGCAT